TGTTGTAGCACCAACACCCAGACTCCTCCGCGCCCCGGGGTGGGGGGGGGGGAATTTTGGGAGTTTAAGGTCCACAAATCTTAAAGTTGCTAAGGTTGAGAAACACTGCCCTATGCTGACCACTTAAGGGAAGGTACTGTATATACCATTCTGATAGATTACACATTTTCCAAAAGCAGAAATTATGGATGGTGAAAATGCAATGCTTTAATGGAAGAGCACCATTACAGCCATTTTGTGAGTGTGTCCACAGCATGCTTTCAAAATTCCAGCTGCAATCTATTGGCCCCAAGGATTGCCTGCTTCGGTTCTGGGACTTGAACACAAGAGGGCAGGCTACAGTTGGCGATCATGAGAAATGATTTCTCCAGGGGAATCAGCGAGCAGGGCTCTGGATGCCCTTCACTTAGCAAGAGGCTGAAGCAGAATATTTGCAGAATTTCTTCCAACTCTATGAACTCTATAATTGAAGCCCCCTTTTCTTCTATTTCTTTGTTCCCATCTGGGTTTGTTATCTTGTTTTAATGTTTTTAACCATTCTTAACAATTTATAAACTGCCCAGAGTTGCTGAAAGTTGAATATAAATTTAAAAACATTATTATTATGGTTGGTTGCACAGTCGGCTAGATGTTTAGACTGGATTTGGCATTTTTATCCACCTATCAGGTCCTTCCCAAGGACCTGGGATAGGCAGTTGCTGTTTGATGGGGTTAAAAGTATTGTCACAGGATGGAAGTTGTTCCAAGTCAAGCTGCCTTTTGCAATTGACTGATGGTGATTTTGTCAATGCCAATGGTCTTCAAGTGGTGCTCCAGATGTTTTGGGATTGCACCAAGGAGGCTATTACTATTGGTACTATCTTTACTTTCTTTTGCCATAGTCATTCTACTTCTATTTGCAGGTCTTTATATTTTGTCAGTTCTTTCTCTTCCATTCTACCGTCTCCAGGTATTGCAATGTCCACTATCCAGATTTGTTTGTCCTTCTTATCAACAATGGTTAAGTCTGGGGTGTTGTGTGGCAGGTGCTTGTCTGTTTGAATTC